ATTTAGTAAATTTGTTCCTTCATTTCACCAATAAATATTGATCATTTACTATGTGCTTGGCACTCTTTAGGGGCTGCTGAGGATATTGCAGTAAACCAAACAGATAGAAGGTCTTGCTTCCATAGAGCGTATACTCTAGGAGTCAGAAAATAAAATAAATAAATGAAACGTGATATAGTAGATGGTAATACTTGTTATGAAGGAGAGAGGAGGATATAATATGTGGATGTCAGAGTGTTGCAAATTTAAATAGCATGGTCAGGAAGATGTTTGAGCAAAGAACCTATCTTGCAGAAGAGGCTTCTAGGCAGAGGCAGGAGTGAGTCCAAAGACTTAGAAGTAGAAGCGTCCCAGGACATTTGTAGAAGAGCAAGGAGACTAGTGTGGCTGGAGCAGAGCGAGCAAGGAAGGGTGCAGAATGAGATGATGTCTGGATGAAAACAACATTCAGCTTGTCCATGGTCATACAGACTGCTGTAAGAACTCTTTTTTTTTTCACTCTGTGTGAGATGGGAAGCCATTGGAGACTTCTGAGCAGAAAAGTGACAAGATCCAACCTGTGATTTCCATGATGACTCTGGCTGTGTTGAGAACAGACTGTGGTTGAACAGGGGAAGAAGCATGAAGATCAGTTAGGAAGTGGTTGCTATCATCCCAGCAAGAAATGATGGTGGCTGTGTCCAGGAGAGGAGCGGAGGGGAAATGAGTGAATGAATGATAATAAAATTTAAGAAAGAAGCTCTGCATCATCCTGTTACTTTGAAATTTCCACCTATTTCTTTTGTATTTGTGTTTTCCCATGGCCCCATGTATAATTATATGGCATAATTTTATTCTGAGGATAATATGATTTTGAATCTTTTTCATCTAATAGCGTCGGCCTATATCCATAGGTGCTTCAAAGTCTTCTGTTTTTTTTTTGTTTGTTGTTTGTTGTTTTTTTTTTTTTTTTTTTTTTTGAGATGGAGTCTCACTCTGTTACCCAGGCTGGATACAGTGGTGCGATCTCGTCTCACTGTAACCTCCGCCTTCTGGGTTCAAGTGATTCTCTTGCCTCAGCCTCCCGAGTAGCTGGGATTATGGGCACATGCCACCATGCCTGGCTAATTTTTGTATTTTTAGTAGAGATAGGGTTTCACCATGTTGGCCAGGCTGGTCTGGAACTCCTGACCTCATGATCCGCCTGCCTCGGCCTCCCAAGGTGCTGGGATTACAGGAGCCACCACACCTGGCAAAATCTTCCACTTTGAATGGCAGAATGATATTCTTTAGAGTTTCTGTGACATAATTTGTTCAACTGTTTCTATTTAGAAATTTATTGATTTCATTTATCACTATGGTAAATAATAGAAATGAAAATATTAATATTTATTAATATTTATTTTCTTTATTTTCTTTCCTATAGATTGTTTCCTTAAATACTTAAGAGTGAATTTACTTCATCAAAGGAGGCATGTATATGCTGTTGTGGCTTTTGAAATGCACTAACAAATTGCATTCTAATAAGGTTGTATGCATGAGGGTACCTACCGGTTTTACAATAGGACTGGATCAGAAGTAGGTCCTGCTCATAAGAAAGTTACAATATAATGTGGGAAGAAGATGTGTAAACCATCAGCTCTAATAAAAAGCACAATGAAGAACAGCGTAAGAAGGTACCACATTTACAAAAACCTTATCAGCTTTAGATGTTATTAATTTCATTTTTAGTAATTTTTGCATCCATTAAATAAATAAGCCTGAATGGAATGGCTCACGCCTGTAATCCCAGCACTTTGAGAGGCTGAAGCAGATGGATTGCTTGATCCCAGGAGTTCAAGACCAGCCTGGGCAACATAGTGAAACCCCATCTCTACCAAAAAATATAAAAATTAGAAGGGCATAGTAGAATGCGCACCTGTAGTACCAGCTACTGGAGAGGCTGAGAAGGGAGGATTACTTGAGCCCGGGAGGTTGAGACTGCAGTGAGTCATGAATGCACCACTGCACTCCATCCTGGGTGACAGAAAACCTGAAGTAACTAGGTAAGTAAGTAAGTAAGTAAATAAATAAATAAATAAAGTGTGACTGGTCGTTTAATTTTACCAATTCACTTTTTTGTTTTTACCTCTCTTGATATAAATTACCCACATATCAAGGCCCTTTACCCATTAAGCTATTAAGATTTTGATTTTTTCTCATTCTACTATAAAGACACATGCACATATATGTTTATTGCAGCACTGCTCGCAATAGCAAAGACTTGTAACCAACCCAAATGCCCATCAGTGATAGACTGGATAAAGAAAACGTGGCACATACACACCATGGAATACTATGCAGCCATAAAAAGGATGAATTCATGTCCTTTGCAGGAACATGGATGAAGCTGGAAATCATCATTCTCAGCAAACTAACACAAGAACAGAAAATCAAACACTGCATGTTCTCACTCATAGGTGGGAGTTGAACGATGAGAACACAGGGACACAGGCAGGGGAATATCTCACACACCGGGGCCTGTTGGTGGTGGGGGGGCTAGGGGAGGGATGGCATTAAGCGAAATAGCTAATGTTGATGACAGGTTGATGGGTGCAGCAAACCACCATGGCACATGTATACCTATGTAACAAGCCTGCACATTCTGCACATGTATCCCAGAACTTAAAGTTTAATAATAAAAAAAAATTTTTTTCTTATCAATTAGGTAAGTTTTTGTTGCTTATTATTCATAGACACTTACTTAACTAGAAAACAATTCTGCTATTCTCTGATCCTCATCTTTGTATGTTTGCAAGTAGCAGTGTTCCTTTGTAAGGTAATGGAGATGGGCAGAATAATTCACACAATTTGTCTTACTGAAATAAACTTTATACAGGGAAGTACAAAACAGTTAACACAAATTTAGGAGGAACACAGTGTTAAGTGTATATCAGTTAACTGAACAAATATTTATTGAAGCACTTAATAGATATTATTCTAGGGTTGGAAATATGATGAATTAGGTTACAGTTTCCAATCGTTTAACAATTTGAAAATTACTGTACTCATAAGGAACAGTAGATATATAAATAAAATTTCAGCAGTGTAATATATAATTGGATAGAGGTGAACACAGAGTTCTTTGGAAATAAAATTGGATAAAAGTATTTATAGAACTAAGCAATGAAAACATTCTAATGCCCTCAGCTGTGAAATAAAAATAATACAAAATGAATAAGGCAGACAACTCAATAGAAAATTGGGCAGACGACTTGAGCTAACCACAAAAGAGGATATTCCAAATTGCCAAGAAATAGATGGAAAAGTGCTTAACTTCACCAGTCATGAAGGAAATGCAAATTTAAGCCACAACATGATTCAACTATTTACCCCCTCCCCACTAGAATGGCTAAAATCAAAAAGCATTTAGACAAGCAGAACTCTCATAGATTGCTAGAGGGAGTATACGTTTGTATGGCCACCTTGGAAAACTATTTAACAGTATCTTCTAAAGCTGAATATACTTGTGTCCAATGACCCAGCAATCCACTCCTAGGTAGTAAGTTGTCATCTTAGTAGGTAAACAATGGTTGAATATTGGCAATCTTATATTGTTTAACCTAATGTTTACCCAGCAGAAATGCACACCTATGTTCACCAAAAGACGTGGAAGAATTTCATAGAAGCACTATTTATAAGGGTCCCAAAACAGAAAGTATCCAAATGCCCATCAACAATAGAGAAGGTAAATAATTGAATATTGATCTACAATAACAAGAACAAACGAACTGCAACTACATGCAACAAGATGAGTGTTTCTCACAAACATAATGTTGGACGAAAGAAGCCAAACACAAGAGAGAAGATACTTTATGATTCTACTTACATAAAATATAAAAATATGCAAAACCAGTCTGTTAGAAGTCAGAGGAGTGGTTACCCCTTGGGGATTAGGAACTGGAAGTGTTCACAAGGTGAGGCTTTTGAAGTTCTGGTGATGTTGGGTTTCTTGATCTGGATGCTTTCTACATTAATGATTTGTGCACTTTTGTATATGTATGTGTATTGCATCAAAAAGTTTTTAAAAAATTAACGTTAAATACAAGAAAGTCCAAGTAAATCCTCATTTTTTCCCCCACAACAATCACTTTGATGCTTTTCTAGGGAAATACTGAATATCAAATTCTTTTAAAAAGGTTTTCTCCCCTCATTTTTGGAGCCCTTTTCTGCTGGCAATGGTAGGTAATGCTGTACTTGTTGTAGGAACATAGGTAAGAGACTAAACTTGGTGTGGGGTCCTGGCTGGGAAGCTTTCCTGGAAGAGATGAAGCTGGACCTGAGTTGTGTAGCATCCATTAGAGACAGCCAGGGAAGGAAGTGGATGGCAGACAGTTCCAGGGAGAGAGGCCAGGCTGCTCAAAAGCAAAAAGGTGTGGTAGGGAAAGAAAGAGAACCCACTGGGAGGGAGTGGACAGAGCTTGCTGGAGCTAGAGCTTGGAGAGTAGCTGAGGAGGGGTTAATGATAAGCAAGAGAGTTTGGCAAAGGCCAGAGAAAGATCTTAAAGGGTCATGATACTGAGCTTGGACTTAATCTTGTAGGCATCAGGGAACCACTGACCAATTTAAATCAAACAGGTGACACAATTAAGTTTCTACTTAATAAAGAGTAAGAAGGTGATGGTGTGAGAAATACCTGAAGAGGGTTAAGAAGACTGGAGCCTGGGGTACCAGCCAGGAGGCCATTGCAGTAATCCATGGGAGACATAACAGGCTGGTGGTATTGGATGGAGAAGTAGGGACAGATATGAGAGCTATTGAGGAGACAATTGTTCTGACAGGACTCAGTAATTGATGGGTTTGAAATTGATATGTAGGCATGGTATTTTTTTTTTTTCTAGTAAAAATAGGGCAGAACCTTAATTTTGATAAATGATAAAACACACGTGGCCTTTGTCCTTATTCCCCCCCTTTAACACCTTTCTACAGGTGTATCCATCAAAGGATGTTGCCATGACGAACAAGAGAACGCTTACCAGTGATTTTCCATTGCTGCTTGGAATGAAAACCCAATGACACATTTCAAAATTTTGCAGTGGTGAATCATGTAGGTCATCTTATTGCACTACCATGCAAACTTCTTGATTTTGCCAAATCAGTCAGTTAAGAGAAAAAAGGAAAAAAAAAGTGTTACCTAAATATACTGTCATATACTATTGTAAACAAAAAACAATCTGTGTATGTGTTTATGATTATATAGTACAAAACTATGTACACACATGAAAAAACATACATGTATGTATATACACACTAGAAACTTAAACAGCTATGTGACACTCTTGAGATTTTATATACAGACATTATCAAGGTCTACAAAAAATAACAAATGTTTATTTAATTTTCCCTGTCTTTTTAATGGTTCCATTTGGGTGGGGGAGGATCCAGAGGATGTTTTCCTCACTTTAATTACCTCACTGCATTTCCTTCTTTTCAATTTTGGCTTTTATAAATGGGAACACTGTGTTAATCCATTCTAATTAAAACCCAGCCATGCAACCCTTCAGTTCAAGAAACAATTTTTGAGTCTGCCTAGGATATCATTTAGTCAGAAATTACCTCTATGGCTTTTAAAATGATCACCACTACAGTGCTCTGGTAGCCACGGGGGCAAAGTCTTTACAGGCTGATTTTCTAAAAATACCAGGAATTTGCCAAGAGCCCTTGTTCTGGAGAAGGGTTCAGAGTTCTTCCACAGGGGCCCAACAGAGTGCAGAAATGTGTATTCCTATAGAAAAAGAAGAGGGTAGGAGTTATGGAAGGGGCAACAGCAAATGACCCAAGTTCACCTCCTGCCTGTCCACAGAACACCTCTTTGCCTTCCGGCTGCTGGAGGAGCTATGCTATTCTTAGCCATCTCCCGTGAAGGCAATTACACAAACCCCCTCTGAAACCCATTTCCGCATTTGTTCAAGAAATTCTTTTATCTTACGTAAATCCCCCATGCTGTAACTAAGCCCTTGGTCTGCCCTTGGCCAGATGGGAGGGCAGCCAGGCTTCCTCTCTCCAGCAGAGCCCTTTCTGTACCCAAAGATGATTATCTCATCATCGTGCCATCCTCCCTCCCATTCTCCAGACTGAAAATTTTCATCTTTAGCTTTTTCCTTTCCTTCTCCTTCTTACCATTTCTACGATCTCCTTTAACTGTTGCCGAACGCTTTTCAGAACTGAACCTAGTACTATGCAAAAAGTCTATCTGATCTTGTTCTCCAACTGATGGGGACAAGGCAGGTTGAAAAATGTTCTGAGAAAGCAACAGGGAGAGTGGAGGTAGGTGTTGCTTGCCCACAGCTGTGGAATAAAGCTGAGTACAACTGAGTCCAAAACCAAGGCCCCAATCCAAGGCTGCATCCTCAAAAAACAAGAAAGCCAAGCCCGAAGTCCTTGCTGGTTCAAAGGCCCAGGGAGAATCCAGAGGAATTGTTCTGTAAGGGGAGCAGGCCTGGATGTGCGCTGAGCAGTGAGTGGGCAGCTGCAGCCTTTGCAACAAATCCAGATCTTACCGTCCTGGGCCGGGAAGGGGCAGGCATCTCACGAACAGCTGAAGAACTGACCAGCAGTAAGTTCAGGAGACTGTTCAGATTACGTTGTCAGACTAAGTCAAAACTCTTCCATGTCACTAAACATGTGCCTCAGACCTTGTAGTGGACTAGGATCAAACTTAAGAGGGTGTAGAGGAAGCAGATGGGCCCCAACCCAAATGGTCCCTCCCTCGTTGAACCATGTGACAGTCTCTTGGGCTTGAAAACTTTGAGTCCTCTCTCTTTCCCTCCTCTCCATTGCCTTAATCACCAAACTGTGACTCTTCAATGTCTCTCACGCTCATTCCTTTTTGCTTCTATTTTCCCCAGTCAAACCTGAACAATCTCAGTCCTGAACTGTAAATTGCTTCCTAATAGGACTTTCAATTCCTATTCCTGTTTGCCAATCTACGCCACATTCTGCTGTCTTTCTTTTATATTTTTACTTGAGGACTTTGAATTACCTATAGGGATAAGTTTTTATGCTTCTTAGTCCATCCAGACCCTCCAACATTTGGCCCTAAACTAGCTTTCCCAACCACATCTCCCACTGCTTCTTCATGAGTCCTCTATTGAGTCAAGTATATTGCCCTTTCTATGTCTGCCTTTGTCCATGTCGTTGCCTGACTTGGAAGGTCAGTGACTCTCCTCTCTGCCCATTTAAATCCTATCTTGAAAGATGAAGATCTGATCTTAGTTTATCTAAGATCACCTTGACCAAAAGTTCTTTATGTCCCCAGATCTCTTATAGCACTTTCTGTCAGTTTCCCTCATCTAATCTTATATTGTACTGGGCTCTTAGTTGGCTTCAGTATGTATCTGTTGTCTTCCCTGACTAGTGTCTTAAATACTTTGATGGCAAAGGTGGACTTTTAGAGTTAAGGAAATCATTCCAAAGAGCTTAGCATTGTTCTGGATGTACTGAGTTTGCTATGGCTTCAGCGTAGTTTACAATGCTACGGTGCGGTGATTCTCAATATTCTTCAAGATGAAGATCTCTTTGTTCCCTTTCCATTGTCAATAAACAAGTGTGTTGTGGTTCATTGATTAACATTTTTAAAAATACCATGATGATCAGATGCTTTTATGAATTTGCTAATGCTTTACAATGAAATTTATTTAGGTATAGCATCACCACCATGTACTCAAAAATTAGTAGTGCTGTAACTGTATTTAAGATGTTTTTATTTATTTGGTCGAACACTTAGCCAGCATGTGGCTTTGCTCACCCTTACAATGATGTTGGCTCTTTATGTGTCCTGCTGCCCCACTATTTGGTCATATTATTATTATTATTACCTCACAGGGCTGTTGTGAGGGTTAAATGAGATATACATGTTAAGTACATGACACAGTGCTTGGCTGAAAGTGATTTTGATCTTTCTTTCCCTTCCTCATGCCACCATCAGCTAATTTAGAAGATGGGAATGTTCCGGGACCTCTGGGACAGAGCTTAGGGCAGTGGATGAGGGAAGGGATGGCGCTGTCTCTGGAAGAGAAGGGCATTAAAGATCACCTAGAGCAGCAGTTCTCAAACGTTTTACTTGCAGGACTCCTCTACCCTACCCTCTTAAATATTATTGAGGACCCCAAAGAGCTTTTGTTTATGTGGAATATGTCTCTCAAGAAACTTAAAAAAAAAAAGTTTAAATTTAAAAATAACAATAACAAACCCATTATACATTAATGTACATAACACATTTTTATGAAAAATAACTATATCTTTCAAAACATTAGTGAGAAGAGTGGGATTGTTTTAAATTTTTGCAAATCTCTTTAATGTTTGGTTTAATAGAAGACAGCTGATTCTTCATTGTTTCTGCATTCAATCTCTTTTAATACAGATGGACCCCAACTTACAATGGTACAACTTAGGATTTTCGATTTTACAATGTTGTGAAAGTGATACCTATTCACTAGAAACCATACTTCAAGGGCCCATACAACCATTCTGTTTTTCACTTTCAGCACAGTAGTCAGTAAAGTCCATGAGATACTCAACCCTTTATAATAAAATACACTTTGTATTAGATGATTTTGCCCAACTGTAAGCTAATGTAAGTGTTCTGAACATGTTTAAGGTAGGCTAAGCTATGATGTTCAGTAGGTTAGGTGTAGTAAATGCATTTTTGACTTATGCTATTTTCAATTTATGATAGGTTTATCAGGACATAACCCCACTGTAAGTCAAAGAGCATCTGTATTTGGTTTTGGTGAAGTATAGGAAGAAAATATAGTTTCATACAGATATATTGTTGAAAAAGGGAAAGTGTATAAGGGTATTTGAATAGGTTTTGAGATAACTGTGAATATTCTCTGAAACTAAACCAAAACTCAACAAGTGGTAGTTTAAGAAATGTTTTTGATTGTAAATTGATAAATTATAGTTGTATATATTTATGGGGTACAATGTGATGTCATGATTTATGAATAAAATGGGGAATAATGAAGTCAAAATAATTAACATAGTTTCTGTAGTGAGAACACTTGAAATTTACTCAGCGATTTAAAAACATACAATACACTATTAACAGTTACAGATTACCTGCAATGCAGAATCTAAAACACATCAATGAAGTTTTCATACTCTGTTACAACAAAATCCATTGCTATCTTTATTTCAATGCGTCTTTTAAACATTTATGATTTTGTAACACCAAACCGTGGGCACTTGGAAAATATTGGGTGCACCGAATTACGCAGATCTTCCAAATGTAACCACATTTCATTATACAATTTCAAAAGATTGTCTTCATTATTAATCACCATTGATCTTATCAGGTAAGTTCTTAGTGCTGGGAAGCTGTTAGGCTCACGGTGGCAAATATAAGATTTTCCAAATTCTCATTTTCATTCAAAAACTTAAATATTATCATTGGCAATAAATACTGCCAGTTATTTTCTTTGAAGTTACTGGCCAATTTAGTTCATTTTCTTGAGAAAATATCTGCCAAATACCCAATTTCAAATAACCACAGTCTGTCAGTTGTTCTTCCAAATAAAAACAGTGTTCCTCAAAAAAAAAGCAGATAGGCTGGGTGCAGTGGCTCACGTCTGTAATCCCAGCACTTTGGGAGGCTGAGGCGGGCGGATCACCTGAGGTCAGGAGTTCGAGACCAGTCTGGCCAACATGGTGAAATCCCATCTCTACTAAAAAAAAATAAAAATAAAATAAAAATAAATTAGCTGGGTGTGGTGGTGTGCCCCTGTAATCCCAGCTACTCAGGAGGCTGAGGCAGGGAAATTGCTTGAACCAGGGAGGTGGAGGCTGCATTGAGCTGAGATCACACCACTGCACTCCAGCCTGGGTAATGGAGAAAGGCTCCATCTCAAAAAAAAAGCAGTTCACCTTCCAACTCAAATGATGGCATTAGTGCTTTTCCTTGAGACAGCCATTGTACTTCAGTGTGCAGCAAAAGTGCTTTATGTGCACTTTCCATTTTGTCACACAAAATATGAAAAAGATGTATACTCAGGAGCTGACATTTAATAACATTAATAATTGTTAACACTTCACCAAGGACATGTTTAAGTGAAACTGACATTTTCTTTTTACTGTGTAGCAGTAAGAAAATACACCGACTACTAGTATAGTTTGGTCCCATTACCTTGATTCATGCTAAGGTACCAGCAGTTTTACTCATCATTGCTTTTGCACTATTGTCACAAATGTCAAATGATGAAAAAGGCAAATAACATCTTTCTCTTATTATGGAAATACTTTTGACCTCAACGACCCTCAGAAAAGTCCCTGAGAATCCCCAGGGGTCTGTGGACCATGTTTTGAGGACCACTGCTCTTAAACTTCTGCAAAGGGCCAGGCCTCCCAGCATGCAGTATGTAGCTACTAGCACATTTGGGAGGAGAGGTGAGGTCTCCTTCAAACAGGGCAATTTGCCTTCCTTTTTGGAGCCTGAGATGGACTTTTTGTTTCCTTGCAGAACTGAAGGCATCTGGCTTGGGAGCACGATTATTCTCCACTCACCTTTAAACTGCCTCAGCTATTACTAAGTCTCTGGCAGTGATATGTTGATTATGTGAATTTAAAGCCCACAGGAGCCAGAGGAATGACAGATCAGATTCTCTTAAATGAGAAATAAAATCCAGGAGCCTGGCAGCGGGACATACGGCTCTCGCTCCTGCTGACCTTTGATGTCACTCTGGTAGAATGACTGCTTCTAGGCCAGATGGCATGTAGCTTAAACGG